AAGATGGATGGATATTTTAACTTACCCCAATGTTTAGTCATAATATATTTTTTTCTAATAAAAGTTTTTTTTAGTATCTGATGTATTTTGTCTGTCGTTACTGTTGCTCTTGAAAATGTTCCTTTGCTCCATCGCTATGATTAAGTGCAAGGTAAACCCGCACCACTTCTTATCTGCGAAATCCATCTCCTCCATTTCTGTCTGTGGAGAAATGTGTGATGGGACACTTCAGCGCTTGTCAGAAGCCCTTTGCGTTCCCGTTTGTCTGGCGGCACGGCGACCTTCCCTGAATGTAATCCTACTAGCTTTTCATTTTTAAGAAAGGATTAAATGTCACTAGAGTTGGTGACTTATCAGCTGATTTGGGTGTGGGTATCCCATGTCTGTGGGCCCATCGTGATTACTGTGGTGGATGTACTTATATGCCGGCGTCGTAGTTACTCTCATACAAGTCAAGGTGTAAATTAAGCGGTGCCAGATGGGTCCGAATAAAAAAAACAGCAGATGTTGACACCGAGAGCGAGAGCGAGAGCATCCTTCTGTCTCTTCTGCGGCCTGCTGGTCTGGGTGGAGGATGCTTCTTCACCCACTGCTGATTTTGGGTAGCGCCACATCCTGTGAAGGCCCCACCTTATTAATCCCAGTTTAATCCTGTTTTGTGGAGAGAGAGAGAGAGAGAGAGAGAGAGAGAGGGAGAGGGGGAGAGAGAGAAAAACGGTGAGTTGAAATCCAAAACACAAATTGGGTCATTGCAGTGACATGAGCCACAGTTTCTCTGTACTGTTAACCAGCAAATCACCCAGAATTCCCAGCGGAGACTCACTGCCCTCATTTAATCATGTGCTCTGTGTGCATGGTGAACTTCTCAAGAACAAATCACAGAAATGTTTTTTTTTTTCCAATTACACAACCAACATTAAATGTTTTTGTTTCAAAATAATCAGGAGTCAACTAATGTCAAGAAAACCTTTAGAGAAACCCAAACAGAAATTGCATCCAAGGTATCTGTGCGTTTAATACACATCTAGAGGAAATTTTCTTAGGCTCGTGTTGAACTGGAAAGTGCTATGAAAGGGTTTGGTGGTCTGTGTCTGAGGTTTGCAGTCATGGTTCTGCTGGTTTCAGGCCATATTTTAATTAGCGCCTGATTTATTAGCGAGTGGGATGACTTAATGTTCAGTCAATTACATTAATAAAGTTAAAATCATACCCTATGGCTCTCTAGGGCTGTTTCCACCTTACTTGAAGGGGTACGAGGAAGATTATAATTTAATATTTCAGCAATGATTTGTTGACCAATACACCAAATTTCTCCATCTAGTATTGAGGTAATGGTAAGCACAGAGATATGGATGTGTGTATATACATACACACAATCACATTCATATATAAATCTGAATTTTATAAACACACACACACATATAAATTTAGATATATTTCATATATGTGTATGATATCTGAATATTTGGTAATCGTGTGTGTGTGTGTGTGTGTGTGTGTGTGTGTGTGTGTGCGCATGTTGTAAAGGCAGGCACTGCAGTGTTGCTGAAATGGACAAGTGTGTGCAGCGTAAAGACCAGATCTAATTAGACAGCTTGAGAGAGTATAACTGCTTCTTCAGACTCTTGATCAGTTCTGCACTCTCATTTGCATAAATTACCCCACAGAGGTGAGCCAACCATGTACATTAACCTGTTTTAAGGTCAATCAGCTTGTGACCCTTTTTGCTGCTGTCTTACTCATTGCCTTCTACATTTGTCTAATGAAAAATAACACAGTACAGTCCCATTTGGCAGGCTGACCTTTCATCAAAGGCAGCTTTTCCTGCCTCCGCTGATACAAGGGTAATTGTAATCCTTACTTAGATTGAATATTAATTGGGTATGAAATTGAGTGTTAAACCTTCCATTCCCTAATTGAGAGCTACCAGATCCTTTGTGATTGACAATCATGTCTCAACAGTTTTTTCTCATTCCAGTGTGTTGGTTGGATTTGTTTACTGTGTGTGTGTGTGTGCGTGTGTGTGTGTGTGTGTGTGTGTCTCTGTGGCCTTGCATAGATCACATTTGGGGACCAAATGTATAAAAATCTGTGGATGTAATGAAAAAGTAAAAATGCCAAAAGTCTTGTATCTTGGTCCATTACTTACGGCTAAAGTTAGGGCTGGGTAGGAGTTAAGTCCACATTTAGATAAGTAGGCGTGTGTGTCTGCCTGTGTGTGTTGGGGGGGGGGGGTTAAGCCAAACACACAAGCTCAGTAATACTGGACGCCAACCAGTTGGACACCAGTTAACCAAACTGCTGTTTGACTTATGGGAGTGAAGTGGAATTCCTGGGAAATCCCACCTGGCAGAGGGAACTCCACACACCCAGACGCGGTAGGATTCCAGCCTCCTGCCCTTTACATTTCTCATTGTATAAAGGAGTGAAGAGGGAGATTTTTTAGTTTTTTATCATTTTCCCCAGTCATCTCTAGTCTGCTTCAAATGCGCACATTTATGCTGTGTTAATGCTCTGTTGTCAGGCGTACTTCTGTATTATTCACTGAATTGCATCCTGGAACATTTGCTGGATTATTTCTTGACATCAGTTCTATTTCAAAGCCTCGCCCATGCTTTTATTGTGTTCGTTTTGTGTCAGAATAACTCGTTCTATTGTTCCCTTTTTTGTTTTTTGTTGTCCTGTTCTATTTTGAGTAGCTTTAGCTGTAGCTTTCGTCGTGTTGCTTTGGACTTGTTTATGGACTGCAGTAACTCTCTGGTGTGCGTGACATCATCAAAGCGTGCCGAAGCCAGGTTACCTTTACGACCTTCACAGCCAAATCGCTGATAGGAACTTTATTTCAACCCTTAACAGGCGGCAGGGTTTTGGACAGCTGGAGTTTCCCTCCTCAAAGTTTCTCCCTGGCCTTCACTGGGATAGCTGCCTGTCACAGGGTCAGCATGTATAGCAAGACACGTTATCTAAAGTGATGAGTCTCATAAAATCAGGCCTCATAAATACTGTATAGACTGCACAGACCTCTATGCAACATACTTAACCGTAGATCTTGAATCATTGTGACGAGCACCTGGACTCCGTTACCTGGGCGGGGGCCAGGTAACAGCTGCAGGTGAAGCAGGGGAGGAGTGCAGGGCCTGGAAATAGCACTCAGGCTGACCCTCAAGTGACCCCGAGGTTGTAGGATCGAGCCCCGTGAGCAGACCATATGTTCTGAGTGGATACCAGCTGTGCAGGACCCGAGCCAGTCTACATTGTATTTCTAATTACTCAGTAGAGCAGACAGGATCTCATGAATTTCCCCCGGCGTTGCTAAGTCTGTAAGACACCTGCGCTAATATCGCAGCTCCGTTCTGACCCGCCCCCTTTTTCGAGCGCTGATTGACACGTGCTCGGGGGGGCGTCCGCTTGTCGCCTGATTGGTAGCCTTCAGGGAGTCGATGTGCTAACTTTAGAATTGCTGCATCAATGCGAACGGCGTCTGCAGACGCGCAGCTTCCGCTCGGAAGCCAAGATGCTCATTTTTTAAGCCATGGCGCTGAGAAAATGAAACTCTTGGGCTTGAAAAAGCTGGTGGGGTTTAACATTTTTTTGGAATCATTAAATTTGGGATCATGCATATAGAGAATCAGGGCTTATCTTCCAGAGGGTACAAGAAGTACCTTTTGGGGTGGGTGGCGTATACAGGCAGGCATCCACGTCTTACCGCTTCAGCCTGTCATCGTCACCAGAGGCCGTCAGCCATGAGTAAGATCCTCAACCCCCTGAAAAATGTTCCTGGGGCCACTGGACGCTTGGACCTCATGCTTCACTCTCACCTCTATATGTGTGCATGTCTTTAAAAGGACAGCCTGATAGGATATGCGAAGGCTAATGCATTCCAGTGTTGTGATGCATTTGGTTCTAAGTGTGAGTACGTGTTATAGGTGAATTGGTGCTGCTCTGATGAAATGCCTTGCAATTAGGATGCAAACTAATTTCCCCATGGGAACAAATAAAGTCCATCCGTCCATCTATCTATCCATCTCTGTCTCTCTGTCCTATCTCTGTTTATCTGTCTGTCTGTCTGTCTCTTTGTGCCTGTACACATACTTGTAAAAATAGTAAATAAATCTTCATTTACTTTCATTTTCATTACCTCCCTCATGTTGACACCCCTGAGTCCTGCTTGTTCTGTCCATCTCGTGCGTCAGATGCTCGGCAATCGATGCCTCCCCATGCATCCCGCCTTGTGAAGCGTTGCAGCTCACTGACACACGGGGCACGAAGCTGTGTGGCCCCGTGTGACACGTGAGGCCCCGTGTGGGCGGCGTAGCTGCCGCAGGCGCAGCGCTGCAGCTCTCTCCAGCAGAAATGCACCGGCGTCGCCTCTTCGCCGCCAGCATAAGCAGAATCAATGGTGTCGCATTAGCTGTACGGCAGCACTCGGGGCGAATGGCACAGGAGCTGAAGGGCGAAGGTAAACCCCTCGTGGGTCTCGCCGGTCCCACAGGGCTGCCTCTGTCACTTCCTCCCCCTCCCGCAGTCTTTCTGATCTCTCTGCACAGTTACTCTGCAGTGTTTTGAAAACACAGCAGAGAGAAACAGAGAAAGGCCCTTTGCTTCCAACTCATAACTATATTGTATTTTTTCCATCGATTGTTTTGTGTCTAGATATTGACTGTTTTGCAAGGTCGCCCTCAGTCTGATAGAAAAATAAGCCCTGCTCTTCTTGTGAACGCTTTAGCTGATGCACTGTAAATGCAGGGATGACCTTCTGCATGGCAGCATTGGGACACCAGCACTGTACCACCAGGCTTTGGGTAGCAGGAACGGGGTCGATTTAATAACTGCCAGCATTGATTACTGTGAAGTAACCTGCAGTTTGCGCACCCGTCTCAGAGATAAGGATGACACAGCCGTTGTCTTCGCGGCTCATGGGCGGCGCATGTGTGTTATTCTGTTAGAGGACACCCTCAAAATGGTAGTAGTGCCTTCATGTCTGTGCCACTGTTTTTCAGGTAATGGTGTTTGTTCATGCCCGCAACGCCACCGTAAGGACCGCCCAGAGCCTCATCGAGATGGCAAAGAACCATGGAGAGTCGACATTCTTCCTAGCAGAACAAGGCCCCGACTATGGCCAGTGTGAGAAGCAGGTAGGTTAGACTTTGGGGAGAGACCCAAAAGGAAGACGTTCCATAAGGTGCGTATTATTGCACAGAGAAGGTGTGTGAGATGGAGCCTTTAGTAGCAGGTAAAATGCACAATATATCCTTGAGTTCTTGACAGCTGGTAAATGGGGTCCTGTTGGCTACAAGGACTTTGACATAGCAGGTAAAGTGGTAGATGTGGGTGTTGGATCCGGGTGGACATGAGGGCTAGTCCCGTTGTCGTGTGTGTTGAGGTTTGTTGTGTTGTAACAGAAGAGCAGTCGGCGAGTAATCCGGCCGGCCCTTTGCCTCGTTGTGACCGTGCTGCTGGACCAGCCTGTAGTCGTGACGTGATCTGGAAAGGCAGGCTGTTTGTTTCGCTCTTCTGAGCCCCACAGCTAGATGCAGCACTGCGCTCCGTCAGTATTAATTCATGAGATTCGAAGAAGAGAGAGAGAGATTGAGGTCACCCCCATTTTTTAAAAGTCTATCCTCCAGGGAGAGTTGGGTAAATACAGACAGGGGAAGGGGGATAGCCTCTAATAACTGGCAGCCATGGCCCCACCCACAGCCATAAAAGGACATAAAAGACTTCATGCATTGGATAAGTGCCGAGTCCTTGGGAGGCAGGTAAAATATTATCAGTCACGGTAAGGCATTTATAAATGAGTGTTTTTCCTGGCAGTCTTCCTCTGCATTTGTTGCCAAGTGTCTCTGTTCTGTTGATAAGCCTGACCCTAAGGAAAGTGGATGCTGCGTCGCGCACCGTGGAGACGGACCGGGATCCCATTTGTTCATAGCCGTTACGTTTTTAATCACCGCTGTGCTGATTGGTTCCTGACAAGGTGTCCTAAAAGTGGATGTTGTTTTGATGCCAGGGGTATAAAAAAATAGATGATGCATTGTTTTACGAAACCTCATGTTTGCTTTCAATGTCAGTGTGAGTTAATTGGATAATAACTAAGGACAGCAGTTTGGCTAAGAATGCCTTGCCTGTCATTTCTCAACAACACGGGGATGTAGGCCCCTCTGAAATCTAGCTTGCTGAAGGACACCTGCCGCCGTTCAGGAGTGATTACAGAAATGAGCCTTTGAAATTGGCAGTGGCTGAGATTACCGTATATCATCAACCACTCACCGGTTTAACCCAAAATTAACTGATGATTAGTTTTGGAATGACCAAGTAACTTCCTGTAATGTTCTATTTCACTAAATGAGTGATTATTCAAACTGGATTATTACCCTTTGATGAAAAATCCCAATTTCCTTGACCTCATCTCATGTTCTACTGGTTTAGTTTATTAGGGTTTTGCCCTAATAAGATTTTACATTTTTTCTCAGGGGAAGACAGGTGGCGTCAGGCAGCCCACTTTGCACAGCCACTGTAACACTGAGAGTAGAATAAAGCTGTACACACAGTGAACTCTGCCAGTGGAGGCTGACAGTGGTGACCTCCAGTGCACTGTGGGTGATGATGCGTGAGGGACAGGCTTACAGGACAGCTCTCTCGTCCAGGCCGACCCCACCCTATCGCAGCTCATTAGTTACTGTCTAGCCTGGCGGGCCCAGCCGCCACAGACAGTGATCAATATGGCGGCTTGATTGATTTTATTTAGCCAAATCGTGATGCTCTGAGACAGGGATCAATAAGGGGCCTAAGAGGCACCTTCTGCGTGGAGTTTCTCTACCCGCTATGATTTATTACAGTCCCCAGTATTGTCGCTCCAAATCGAACGCTCTCATCAGCCTGGTCGCGGCTTGGTGCGCTCCGAGCGGCCTGTTATCGGGGGGCCTTCGGGCTCGCTGTCGGTGCGGCGGTCGCATGTGCGAGCGGGTGTTCCGGGCTGCAGTCTGGCTGAAGTTGCGGATTAACGACTAGTCACTCTAGCAGAGTAAGGGGGGAGGAATAGCGAGTCTAAAATCAGCAAAGTATCTAAAGCCAGTGGTTAATCAATGGTGCGGTGAGCATTCCGATATGGGGCCTGTGTGTGTGTGTGTGTGTGTGAGAGAGAGAGAGAGCGCAAACATGTGCATCTTCTCCCTAATGTATGTGTAAGTGAAGAGCAGCCCTGCATCCTCTCATCCCCAGCTGTGATTGAGAGCTACTCCACTGGTAATTATTACTTGTCTGCCCGCTATCTAGTCAACAGGAAGATCAAAGACGAGCACCAGCCGGGACTTGAGCATTACTTAAGCTACATTGATATCTGTAATGCAGCCAGATCTACACCACATATTTAATTAAATCCAATGGAAATATCATTTGAAACGCTTCTCATTTAAAATCCAATCCTCTTGCCGTTGAGAGGAGGGGAAAACTTTCAGTTGTGAGGGAATGATCTTAAGCTCTTTGGTCACGGTGGATTCTGTAGCGACTGATGCTGCCATACAGACGTATGTCCTGTTGTAACAGGGCTTCGTGCTTTCTTTGGAGGTCCGCTTTCTGTAGAAAGGATCCATTAAAAGACCAGAAAAACAGATTTTTCGAAAGCCATCTAATGCTATTTTAAAAGCGGCATGGTCTGTTGGTAGTGTTCATTCATGGAGGTGTGGCCAGCTGTAGCTCCTCCCTTCATGGGGGCGGCGAGTGGCTCAGCGGACTATGTCTCTTTGCCTGTGATCAGAAGGTCGCTGGTTCGAGCCCCGGCCTCGGCAGAATGGCCACAAGGCCCTAAACCGCCAGCTCCAGGGGCACTAGATGCTGGCTGACCCTGTGCTGTGACCCCCAAGCTATGGAGAGCAAGATGCGATAGACAAAGAGAAAAATTCCAAAGTACTTGTGCAGATGGCAAATAAATCTCTTTTTATGATTTTATCATCTCCCGTGTTGCTCCTCATCCTCACATGACCCCCCCTTCATCTTTCCAGCCATGCACCAGAGGCCCCCGTTTCACACTAACACCCCCCTGAAAGGTGCTTTGCTCTTGGGCAAATTGCCACCCTGATTCTCATCTTGTTAGATGTGCTGCAGTCATGCTTAAAGCCTGAAGCACCCGTCTGCTTCAGTATCAGGCCAAAGGTCTGGTGTGCTCCATTCTTTGGGGGGGGGGGGGGGAGGGTTTATTAATATTTGTTTTATTTTTCTGCAATTAAATGATACAAAAAAATGCCCCAGATAGTATTTTTGTCCCATATAAATCATAGATATTGCAGTAGGATAGAGTGTGGAGTTAGGTGCATTTAATGAATGAGTTCTTTACAGCATTGGTGTACAGTGAGGAAGGACATGATTGATCTTGGGGGTCTCTATTAACCCCTTGTCTATTTTGGATGCTAACTCCATATTTAAATTCCCCCTGCAACAGCTTGAGTGTGATAAATTTAGTAACCTTTCTGCTCCCTTCCCCGGTGCTTCGCCAAGAATAATGCCTCACTCATTGCCTTCTGTAATCGTTTTTTTTTTTTCCTTACTTATGAGATTTATATGTATTTAAAGATCACTTTTTTGTTATTGTTGCTCTGGATGATCTGGATAAAAATTAGGTAGGATTCAGTTATTGAATGGTTTGCATGCTAAACTGATGGTAGACCAAAGCAGTGCCCAGCGTTCAGCACTGGTGCGTAGCCCTTGGTATTTGTCCTAGTTCCGTAGTTTCATCCTCTAGCAGACTGCCATGAAGAGAAGGCAGTCTCTCCTTATCCCTCCCTTCACTGGGAGCTCTGGTGGATCAGGTGGGTGCGGATCTGACAGTCAGGGAGGGTGTGAGTCTCAGCACATTCTGGGAGTGAAACTCCACAGAACAAACTCTCTGATCTCTAATTACCCCTCACTCTTTGCCTCTGAAACAAACAAGGCTGCTACGTGGGTTTTTCTTCTACACAAGCAACACAAGTAGCCAGCTTTGCGTTACTAAAGGTGTGATCCCTTGTCCTCGTTATTTTGCCTTCCCTCGCAGTCACAGATGTCCCCGGAGCTTCCTGCCATAGTAGGCGAGCTTTGACCTTTGCTTGCCTCCCTCTTTCTTTGTAAAGTCACTGGCTCCGACTAGCTCATCACAGTCAGAGCTAAACACTCACACAGCCTTAACACCTTGACACACACACACACACACACACACTTTCTAGTACTGTCATTCATGAAACAGTGATATTTAAAGCTGTATTAGTGGCAAGTTGGGGGTGTTGGATGAGCGATGCTCTTCGCAGTCCGTTTCCTGGTTTATCGGGCGGGCAGGTGGACAGACGGATGGGTGGGTGGGCAGGCAGGCGCAGGTACGGGCAGGCAGGCGGACTCTTGAGAGAAAGTGGAATTTGCTCACGTTGGGCACATGCTGTAAACCTGCAGGTCATTAACTTGCTGTGAGACACATGGGAAGGAGGCAGCATTATTTAATAGGAACTGTTGCTGAATCTGCATACACCAAAACTGATACTCCCCCTATTTCAGACAATGTGCTAAAACAGCAAACATTCTGCAGAATCCACGGGAGCCGAGGTGCGAGCAGTGGCACCAGAAACACAGTGTCTGAATGAAGCTCATTGGGCTATGTAGTGCAGGCTGCTAGCTGCTTCCACTGCTTCATTACCATTACTGCTTCATTCTTAATGGGAGAGGCTTCTTGCCCACAGCAAACATGAGCCGGTGGGCCAAGCTTAATATCTAAAGACAGCAGACTATCAGGCAGTGAACGGGCGGCTTTGGCCATCTGGCAGCACATGGGCAGCTCCACCTGTCGGGCAGCATCTGGGGCAGCTCTGACCGTCTGGCAGGGTACGGGGGGCTCTGACCGTCTGGCAGGGTACGGGGGGCTCTGACCGTCTGGCAGGGTACGGGGGGCTCTGACCGTCTGGCAGGGTACGGGGGGCTCTGACCGTCAGGCAGGGTACGGGGGGCTCTGACCGTCTGGCAGGGTACGGGGGGCTCTGACCGTCAGGCAGGGTACGGGGGGCTCAGACCGTCAAGCAGCATCCAGGCAGCCCCAACTGTCGGGCAGCATCTGGGGTGGCTCTGACCGTTGGGCGGCGTACAGGCGACTCTGACCTTTCTGTCTCCCTCAGGCTTCAGT